TTGCCTTAAGCCCATGTGGGCTGATTCTACCCACCAATCAGAGGCTTGCTCTAATGGAAGGTGTGAATGGGCTGATTCTACCCACCAATCAGAGGCTTGCTCTAATGGAAGGTGTGAATTTGCTGTCAGCAGTGGGCGTGTTGGCCCTGGTCGGCCTGAAGCAGTACCCCTCGGGAAGAGGGCCGAGAATGAGCCTTGGTTGGCCCGGGAAAATTCCAGGCCACCCAGATATGTAAACAACCTACGCTACCCGGCCCGGGCCGACCCGGTACAGATGGGAATGGCCCATAGATTTCCCTCAATGTGGCCCCTGAGCTAAAATGAGTTGGACACCCCTGCTTTAGATCTTCTGAATTAATAAATAATATTTTGCTATTAATTTAAATCTTTTAAATTAAATATTAATCTTTTGATTAAATATAGACCAAGCCAGTTGGTGTATGAACTTCTATCGATTATATAAATATCCGTGGATATATATATATAATAAAAGTTTCATTGCCAATTCGTTTGATCTTTCTCAGAATTTACCAAAGCTGAATAGCAACAGCGTTAAATTCTAGTCATGTAGATTAACAACGCTACAATAAAAACACAAATACTGACTCATGGTCAGTGATGTGAAGAATAAGGGATAGCATCATTTGTCACTGAACCAGCATACAGGTACAACGACATATAGTTTTAGTACAAACATACAGCACATGAAAACCATCAACAGGAAACGGTTTTACTGTGGACAAGCAGCCATTATGGGAAGAGTGAGAAAAATCAGGCCCTACCCCGGAAAGAGGGAAGAGTTGGTGTTCAGGAAAAAACCTCAGATGTAAAAGCACATATTCAGACAGTCACGACATAAAAGCACAAGTGGTAAGAGGGAGGGGTGGGGATCCCCTTTGCACCGGGAGGGTTTGCACTCATCCAGCGTGCACTCCAGTCTCCACAGCTCCGAGGTGTGGAAGAAATTCAGGGAATGACTGAAAACATCGAGTCCTAGGTGGTGTGTGTGTGAGAGACTTGTGTGCATGCGTGAAGCCATTTAATGCGTGAACTCATTTCAAGTTAACTTAACAAAATAAATTACCCTGTCGAGAAGTTTACACACCCCAGTGATTTTGGCCTGTAACATGCACACAACTCGACACAAATTGATTTGTATGGCTGCCTAAGGTAACCATCCTCACCTGCAATCTGTTTTCTTGCAATCTGTGTGTTATTCTAATAAGTGTGTGTGTTTTTTTTTAGCTCCGGACAAACCTTTCCATCTTCTATCCAGAGATGCACTGATGTTTGTAGTTTCTAAGTCATGGGGAAAAATAATTGTCCCTGTATCTATGAGAGAAGGTGACTGAGCTCTATAAAACAAGGAAGGGATATAAAGAGATATCCAAGATACTGATAATGACAATCAGCAGAGTTGGAACTCTGACAGTGAAGTAGAGTTTCTGTTGAAACCAAACTACGGTCAGGTAAACCATAACAAAATGTCTGCAACAACTTGCAGAAAAATTGTTCGCAAAGCAAAGAAAACCCTCAAATAATGTCTGCTGACATTCAGGACTCCGATAGAAAGTGGTGTGGTTGTTTCCAGAAGCACAATAAGGATGTACTTGAAGAAAAACAGGCTACACGGATGAGTTGCCAGAAGAACGCTATTACTACGAATATGCCCCAAAGTATCACGCTAACAACATGCCAATCAGAGACAACCCTCAACATCTGGAACAAGGGCATTTGGAGTGATGAGACCAAAACAGAAATTTTTGGCCACAACCATAAACGTTACTTTTGAAAGGGACTTTTTGGACTTTTGAAATTTTATGCTCGCGATTGCCCCCTCAGGCCAAAAGCGTAACGGCAGCTTCAATAGTAGGCTCGTGCACGAGGCGCACATGCTGTATGTGCACACTCCTTAATGAAAATAACAGCTGAGACAGGAGGACAGAGGACAGGAGAACACGCAGCTAATTAATTAAATAATTTGGTTCTGCACCTTTCTCTTCAGCACACCCGACAAAGGTTTATGATGGGTCAGTCCTCCTGCATGCTCAGATCATGCCCTTCCCTTGCTTGAAAAATAGTTCCAAAATGAAAGTTGAACCCACATCTTTTTATCCGTGAATTCAATGCTGTTCGGCGAGTCTCAAATAAAAATTTGGACGTCTTATTACTGTAAAAATTATATCATTAATGTAAAAAATAAACTCCAATTAAACTATGTTCATACCTGGAATCAAACCCAGGTCTTCTGCATGAGAGTCAGACGCCTTACTAGGTGAGCTAAAGCGCCAATGACATTCTTTCTATTTGTAATATTTATATCCTTGATGACAGCTGAAACAACGTCAATTCAAAGAATGGTTCGGAGTGAAAATGGCTATTTTGTTGCTAATTTGCAGGAAATATCTAGAAGAAAGTTCTACAGAAAGTAGCTAAGGGACCTCAGAAATGTAGTTAGTAGGGATGAGCCGGATACTTGTTTCAGACAAGTATCCGGTACGGATAAAGCATTTCTGACGAATACGAGCATGACACGAGTAGACCTCGTAAATATCTGTAATCGTGCTGAAGGAAAATCCTCATTGGGTAATTGACTGTCTTCACGCTCTGTGATGGGCCAGTCACATAGAGCGCCCGCCCCTCTCTACACACAAAACTCTCTAGCCGGCTGGGAGCGCAGTCCGTCCGGCTCATCCACGCACACACACACAGAGACAGTAACGGATCTCGCTGTGATTGCTTCACTGTTGCTCACGTTTCTTAAGTGCTCCCTAGGTTTTCTTCAGCTCGCCTTTTTTTCGGTTGAATATTTAAAGTTACTTTTTTCGTAACTTACATGGTGCATTAGACAAGACAGAGCTGACGTGCTGCATCAGTCACTCACTACCTCCACTCCGGTCTGGATTTTTTTAACTCCCTCTCTCTCCCTCTCTATCTCTCTCTCTCTCTCTCACACACACACACACACACGCACACGCACACGCACACGCACACACACACACACACACACACACACACACACGCACGCACACACACACACACACACCTCAATCAACATTGTTTTGTTTAACTTTGTGTGGGAAAATGCCAAGAACGTTAAGAAAAAAATCAGTTTAATCAAATTAAAATTAAAAAAATATATATAAAGTTGTGTCTGGTTCTAGCATTTCATATTTCCTAGTTCCTACTGCATGAGTTCAGATGTATTAATTCATGCACTTAAATATTAATGTTCTGATTTTATTGAAAAACTTGTTTTGTAATAGTTCCTTTACTATTGTGATCAAAAATATTTAGTCTCTATTCTGAGGCTGCTCTGTAAATAGTTTTCAAATAAACCACACACAAATCAACTTCTGATCAATCCATATCAATTTCAGACTTAAAATAATATATTGATGTAAACCACGCCCACTTCCGGGTTATGCCACGCCCATTCCGAGTACAGATACAGATAATTTAGTTGGTTGAACAGATACAGATACAGATAGTGGTGTACTCGCTCATCCCTAGTAGCTAGGTTCATCACTAGGCGTTAGGAACAGCGACAAAGTCGCTGAAATGGCACTGCCTCTCTCTCTGCTGCTAAAACTACTGATAGCAAATGCTACGGGCTATGCCTGAGCGTGAATGCGCATGAAGCAGCCTGCTCGACCCGAGCATCTCTCTTTTTCTGTGATTTTACAGAAAAACAGGCAATCACAGTAAAAATGCCAGGGCTCATTCCACAGGACCAGGGCATTGCAGGAGAATGTATGAAGAAGAAATTTATTATTTCTATACATGTCTTGACTGTCAAACTTCCTTATAGTCCCTTTGAAGAGGAGTCAAAAAGGTCTTTTATGAAAAATGCACAATTCCAACGGTGAAATATGGAGGAGGTTCCATGATGTTTTGGGGATGTGCGAGTTACCGAAGCTCCGGAAACCTGATCAGAATTGATAGTAAAATTATTGCAGCAGCTTATCAAAAAATACTGGAGGAAGGGTCGCACTTGGATGTTCCAACAAGACAATGATCCGAAACACAAGGCCAAGGGGACCTCTCTGTTACATTCGTGCAGTTTTTTTAATCCAGTTTCATTTTCTTTTGTTCTTCATTATACAGAGTGATAAGGGTTTGTTGTTACCTTTGCTGACATGTTCCGACATTTCACTACCGCCTTCGTCAGAGCAACTGCCGGCTGTTTGTGGCGTCACTTCCTTTTATCCGCGGGCAGAAGAGGACGATATCGCCCTCTGCTGGCCGCACCTTCTTTTCTGAACACTGTGTCCCATGAGTGGTCCAGGATGTAAACTCCTTCGTCCTTGTTCATGGTCCTGTGTCCACGTCTCCTCATCTCAATTGCTTCTTTGATCCATCTTTTGAATTTCCGTTTGTCTGTGTTTTTGATCCGTGTGTTCTCCCGGTCTATTTTATGATTTTCTCTTGTGCAGTGGTCTGTTATGGCTGATTTTTTATTGTACTTTCTGCTTCTTTTTTTTGCTGCTCTTGTGTGTCTTTGACTTGTTTCTTTCTCACACTCCTTTTTATGTTCTCTTCAAGGGACATGCTACGGGCTCCAGTAGAATAAAGTGAAGGCTCTGGAGTGACCATCTCAATCACCTGACCTCTGTGGGGAGAGCTCAAACCTGCTGTTCGTGACAGACGGCCCATGAATTTACAGGAACCGGAGGCTTTTTGGCAAAAAACAAGCGCCTTTACCATTTGATTATATACAAAGCCTACACAACAACCACTAGGTACTCCAAGCTGTCACTGATGCTAAGGGGAACATACACACTGTTAGGAACTGGGGTGTGGAAATTTTTCTATAGGGTCATTTGGTATTTTATGCCATAAATCTTTGCTTATGTAATTTCAATTTTTGAGCATCTCTGGAGACGTATTCCTTTCTTTTGTACCTTCAGCCAAAGCCACTCAATGTGCAGACTAGAGAAACATGTCCCTATGCAAAAAATAAAATTCAGACATTTCAAAAGAAGCCAGTCAGTACAAACCCGTATCCAGCCAGGAAGCCCAAACTAGGTGGGCTGACTTGGTCGCTGAAGATGTAGATCTGCAGACCCACCTCCGCGTCTGTCCTGTTTGTGGGTTTTACCATGTGATCCATCAGGCCCGGCACCGTCTGGTTGACGGTCCACCACTCCTGAACTTGATCCGATACATTTGTGGCTCTTTCCAGGTGCAGATTTATGTCAATCATATTTTCACCTGCAAAGAAAACAAAAACAGTGATTAAAACCAAATGTGATATTCATAAAATGGCTGACATATTTAGATGAAAACATTGTTAGAGAATTCATCACCAAGCTGCTCAACAGGTGTGGCCTCAGAGTCGCTGGGAGCTCGGATGTATCGCGGAATGATTTTTTCAATGGTTCTGCAAAAGAAGAGAAGCTCAGTTTGTTGATTTAATGCTAATTAACTTGATCACTTGACTGTAGTCAACAGTGATGTCGCAGATAGAAACTCAGAAGTAGTACCTTTATTTATAAAGCACCTTTTAAAGCCCACCAAGGTGCTCTACAGCTATAGCAAATTAGCAATTACATAAATCATAAAAATCATAAGAACATTCAAAACAGTTAACCATTAAACACATCACTATCACAAAGCAACAAAAAGGGAAGGCAGCATCAACAAACGTCAGTTATCCCACAGAACCAAAAGCCAGAGAATAAATGTGGTTTTTAGCTGGATTTTAAAACCCGTCAAAGATGAAAAATGTCTGATATGCAAAGGAAGCTCATTCAAGAGCTCATTGTGAATGCACTGTCTCCCCTCGACCTCAGCTGAGAAGCAAGAAGAAAAATCAAATCAAACTATGAAATAATCTGTTAATGAATCCTAAAAGACACGGGCAACCAATGCAACTATTCCAGAACCGGAGTAGTATGATCAGTTTTCTTCTATCCCCGTTAAAAACCTCGCTGCAGCACTTTACACCAACTGGAGATGGGATACCGCCATCAGACTAACCCCCAAAAACAGAGTTACAAAAGTCTAACCTGGAGGTAATGAAGGCAACTGTTTGCAGATGTTGTCTAGAGAGAAACACCTTTACCCAAATAAACACCTAAGATGAACGAATGCTGATGACATTGTTGCAAGTCCGAGCAACCAGTCAAGGCTTAGAAACAGTGGTCAGGGACAAGGGTCACACAAGGGTCAAGAGGACAAGAGTTCAGGACTTGCTGGTGAGGACAGAACTAGGCAAAGGGTCAAAAGACAAGCTGTCTTCTCTGGATCCACCCATGGACACACCCCTGGGCCCGCCCCTGACTCCACCTCTGGCGGGAAAAGAAGGAATGGCATGGAGTGAGGAGAAGCCCAGCTGGACCCAGGAGCTCTCAGGAATGCTGGAGGAAGATCTACAATTTGCTACCAATATGAAGATTTATGACCTGTGCTCTCATTCCAGGAGTGCAGCATGTAACTTTTGTGCCCTCATGTGAATACTGCATGTAGTGAAATGATACTAAATGTCTTATGTAGAGCTAAAAAAGTGTATCTGGTAAATGACCCCTTGACCTAAACTGTCAGGAGAGAATGACTTGTGACTCTTACATTGTTTAGAGCAGTCTCAGAAGTGATATAAAAGGATGCAGCTCAGATCGAGCGGGGCTTCGTTCTTGGGGAGATTCTGAGAAGACAGGAGCTAGTGTAAACTAACTCTTATTTAATCATTTTGAACTAATTCCTCCGTGGGGGATAGCAGTTGTTTTTTATTTACCCATTTTTGTATTTTGATTTTGTAATAAACCTTTTTTGAAAAAGAAACATAATCCTGATTCTTTCAGGTTTTCTCTAAAGCTTCACGTTTGGGGCCCTGGCCATAAATTGCACAGAGGTAAGCATGTCGAAGATCGGTCTCTGAATTATCAGGACTTACTTTACAGTTTATAACAGAATAATATAAAGAAACCTTAAGATAAGGGAAGTTTTAACTTCCTCCTCCTTGCGAGTAACGAGTTGTCTTAAGGGCGATAAAAGCAAAATATTCGAGGTTATTTTGGCTCTGATTGCAGGTTGAAAAAGTCTAATCAGCTGGAAGGTTGGATTAATAAATAAATTGATAAACTTATGATAGCCTGATCAACTAACATAAATCATTTTATAGTTACCAACCTCCCACACAAGCTGTTAGAGGCGCAATTAATTCCGGGTAGCCCAAACAATTGCTGAGAGGCTTGGCTTGCCTCCAGACTTCTCTCTAGTATCTTAACCAAAAGGTAACGAGTTTAAAAGAAGTGTAGCACTCTGGGGCTGGCTATTCGTGCAAGTCATTTCACCTTTAAAATAAAAGACAAGATTCTAATTAGATAGTCCAAACCCGGATCTAGTACGATTATACTCGTCGATACACCCCCGAACCCTGATGGATGCACCGTCTCATAAGTTCTAACGGAACTGGGTTTTAAAGGAACCGGTAAATGGGACGGGCACGCGACAACATAACCCCATTAATATGCCCATTAAAAAATAAGTCATTTTCAATGTTTACCCCAAGATTGAGCACAGAACTTCTCATACAGCGGAGTGAGATTGCCAAAATCTAGTCTTTTGCTTATTAAGGTTCAAAAAATTATTTTTGTGTTTTTTCAGACAAGAAGTCAAGGAGCCTTCGAATTGAGTGGTCATCAGAACAACAACACATAGAAACAGCTGGCAATCATCAGCACAACAGTGAAAGGGTAAATGGCCTGTATTTGATATAGCGCCTTGTAGAGTCCTGGAACCCCCAAGGCACTTTACAACACAATCAGTCATTCACACGCTGGTGGGGATGAGATACGATGTAGCCACAGCTGCCCTGGGGCACACTGACGGAGGCGAGGCTGCAGAGCACTGGCGCCACCGGTCCCTCCGACCACCACCTGCAGGCAAGTCAGGTTAAGTGTCCTGCCCAAGGACACAGCGACAAACTGAGCGGTGCTCAAGCCTGCAACCTTCCAATTATGGGGCAAGCACTTAACTCCTGTGCCACCATCACCCGATTTTGTGTTAGTGAATACTAAAGTTTCACAGAGTTTTCCCAAAGGCAAAATATACAAAGAAAATGACAACTGCCCCAAAATTGAGCCCTGGGGAACCCCATACGGCAGATTTCCGGTTTCAGAAGAAAAAATTTCCAAGCCTCACGCACCATCCTACGCGAGACAGCCTGAACCAATCCAGCACATACTCTGATTATTCCACACAAGACGAGTAAGCAGCATGATGCATCTCATGATTAACTGAATCAAAAGCAGCAGTAAGATCTGACAGGACCAACAGTACTCAAGGATTCAATTACAAAGACGAAGGATTTACTTACACGTTCGAACGGCTCCCGTTCCCACTTAGAATCTCAACCAGAGCCCGTTTAGTTGCCTCATCTAGAGCTTTAACATTTTTTCCAGATGCCGTTTCAGCTTTGGCACCAAGAGTAAAATTCCTGAGAGCAGAAAGCAAAAGTCTGAGTCTGCACAGATGTCACAATCTTAGATGCAACAAATCAAACACCAAAGGTTTTAATGAGATTATGCAGATAAATTTGGTCTTTTTATTGTTTAACATGTTTAAAATGTGCCACAACGACTCATTTTATTTATTACTCACATCATGAAGAATGGAAAGAGCTGTTTGGAGTCTGGAAAGAACTTGATAGGAGTATGTGTCATGTTGTACCTTTGAACAGTCCAGGACACGGAGATGGGGAATTCCTCCTTCGACTTCAACATTTCGATCAGGGTGTCTCTGCTGGGGGGACTGATGGTCCACAGGGAGTTAGAGCTGCCTTTCAGGTCAGCGATGATTAGATCCTCTGGGAAGTAGCTCTCCAGCCACTCCATGGCTGCCTGTCCACAAGCAAGCAAACAAGACAACCTCACATCTTCTGCCAGGGTTACGCTTGTACAACCCAGTGACTGATTTCTTACATCAGAATCTGAAAATATCCTCTTAAACTTCATAAACTGGTCTTCAGTCACAGTTTGAAGTTGTTTTTGTTGAGCACTCATGGTGAAGATGGGCTGTGAAAAGAGAAACACAGTTTTCCTTTAAAGACTGATTAAAATGTTTAGAAAGGACTTTTTAAAATTAAGTTCTTGGTCACAAATTTACTAACAGAAGAGCATCACATTTGTTTTTTGTTCATGAGGCCAAATTCTCACCTGAAATCCAGCCAGGGTGATTTTGACAGACACGTCCAGCGGAGCGTTGACGACCCCGGCGACCGATTTCACCAGAGACATGAAGAGTAGCGGGAACCAGACGATACAGATGAGCAGCATCACGATCATTCCGCCCATCCCGTACTTTACTACCTTCTTCTTCTTCTGGCCTCGTGGCTGGGGGTACCTCTGCAGAGGGGCGGAACAGAAACCAGCAGGTGAACACAATCTAAGAATGACTGTGAATACTTTTGGAAAAAGGTGTAAATCTATGTGAAACCACCAATAAGCACCTTCTCAGATTCCCTCCAGCATTTCAGGATGAAGATGTGAGCATATATGTCCTCCACACAGATCCAACTGGACAGGGACAGAGAAGTGTCGGTCCAAACCCAGTCCATGACCGCTCGCAGCTCCGTCAGAAAAGGGATGAGGCGAAAACTAAACAAATTTACATAAGTGATTCCGTTAAATTTGAATGGAGGAGTAATTTGATGTGTTGTTCTATGTATTAACCCTAACCCTACACTTTTTTGTTTTAACCAGCCTGATATTTAGTGCAAAATCATGTTTATTTCTTATTAAACCTAATAAGCAAGATAATAAATGGACGTTTGTATCTAAAATAACTTTTTATTTATTACATTTGAAAATGCAAATGTTTAAAAAACTAAGAATGACCTTAAATTACAGTAAATCAGCTTATAAAATAAAAACAAGCTTATACCAGACTGAGTTTTGACCCCACTGGAGCAAAAACAAAAGATAAAAAATTTTTTTGGTTTATCTAAATTTACATTTGAAAACTTAAAGCCTCCACTGATGTGTTTTTAGACCTATTTTCCTGTATTTCTCATCTTAAACTTCAGGGAGAAACTCACCCTTGAAACAGGAAGAGGTTGACATAATTGTAGCTCTTGGTGAGGAAGTTTCCCAGAACGCGGGTGGGGTAACCGCAGCGGATCTGATAGGCCGACAGCCCAAAGTAGATGCACTTGACAAAATACCACATCTGAGCGACCTTATTCTCACTGAAACGCCTGTGAGACAAAAAAAAAAAAAAAAAAAAAAAAAAAAAAAAAAAAAAAAAACAGGGATGGATGTCAAATTTACCAAATGCCAGAGGGAAATAATTTAAGTGTTGACGTTCATGCTGAGCTTTAGGATCTCACTTTTCTGTGACACTTGGCAGGATAAAGAACATCCAGAAGTGGATCCCAAACACCAAGATCACCTGGAAGATAACCTTGCCCGTGACAGTTTTTCTGAGGTAAAGGGCTCGGTCCACCACCATGGTGCCAAACTGGATTAGAACCATGACCAGAAAGGGTCCCGGCACCTGATCCTCCGACAGCGACGACGTGATGTCTGCCGCTGAGTGTTTCTAATCAGAGTAATTAAGATTCATTTGTTTTGACACACTTCTGATTTATTTCTACACGTATAATTTAAAATCTTACACCAAAAGCCCAGAATCCGAACACAATGATAATAAAGTCAACGGTGTCGGAGAGGAACATCAGAACGTAGACGTCTGTGACGGCGCTGTAGTCCGGATGGATCAAGTTATAGAAGAACTGCTTCATGGGGAGGTAGATCTCCAAAAACCTGCAAAAAGGAGACATTCACAAACCCCGAGGTCTGATGAGAAAAACATTTTATACACGTTTTATTTCCGCTGAGTTTCTCTCTGCACATCGAGGTCGATTGCTCAGGTCTGTTGAGTGAACGGTGTTTGTAAGATAGTAAAATGAAACGTAATGCCATTAGTCAGAAAACCACAGGAGAAAAAAAACTTTGAGCCGACTTACTGTTCTAGCCATAACATCTCAGAAACCACTCGTTCCACCGTGATTACATTTAGATGAATAACCAGCTTTGATGGTCTGTTGCAGCACTTACAAAAATGACACTGAACGGCCTGACGGGAACGCTGTAATTAAAGGTCTAAACTTAGCTCCATAAAAGGTTTTAGCTAGATATGATGCGTACCTTACATCATCCAGCCAGAATATGTGCTGAGCACACCTAACCTGGAAGCGAGGAGTCATGTGAGCTAAAAAAAAAAAAAAAAATCAGAGCCACCTCAGATTTTGATGTGTCCTTCGTACCGCTTTATGATGAAAGCTCTTGCTTTGAAGAGCTGCTCCCTCAGTTTCTCTACGATCATCTGCTTCTTTGTCTTTTGGTGTATGCTGGCCAGGCTGCCCTCCTTGCAGCTGCTGTTGCGGGAAGCGGTACTTCCTGTGGAAACAATTTACATTTAAGCTGTAAGCGCTGTCAGCGCTTTGTTTGTCCATTCTGGCCATGTGAAAGCGCTCTATAAATAAAGTTGATTTGATTTGATTTAAATGAACCGAGACGAGACATTGAGTCTGATCTGCACAAACATGCTGATGATTCATCCCTAAAAGCACAAGAAACCCGCTAAAATAACTTCAGTTGTTGTCATAAATTGTTTGACCACAGTTAAGTGGCAGTAAACGGACTTCACCTCGCTTAGATCTAGCAGCAGAAAGGCGCGATTGATGGGAAACATGTGAGGAGCCTCCACTGGAGCTCTTGCGTCTCTGGTAGGTCTGAGGCTGTGGGTACTGGACCTGAACCTGTCCTGAATCCACAGAAGTCCCAAAGTTCAGAGACCTCAGAGTGTGAGTGGAGCCTCTCCTCTGGCTGATCAGAGACGAGTCGGGTTCAGACTCTTTCTCACTCTCCTCTCTCTCTCTTCTCTCATCCTCAGATTTACTCTGACGAGCGGCCTCTTCTTTTCTTAATTTGGGGTCGTCCTCGTCCCACAGACCGTGGCACTGCGGAGGATAATTTGATTCAGTCCAACACAGAAATATTTGATTTGACTGATTTAAACAGGCGCTACAAGCTCTCAGCAGACAATGAAACAGTTCAATGAGTTTTTGAAAGCATTACAGAAACAAAGAGAAGAAAATAATGATCATTTTTGTTGGGTTTGCTTGTAAAGCTCTCATTCACTCATTTGGTCTCTATTACAACAATTGAAAAACAACAGGATTGTGAGTATTACTCATTAATATTCATGATATGCAAACATCTTGCCTCTGATTGGCTAACAGATATGTGACTCTTCCGTTGCCTTCGTTCACTTTTCTTTGTCGGGTAAAAAAGCGCAACGTTGATGTGTGATCTCAACAAATAGCACAAGCCCAAATGTTTTCCACCATGTTATGGACACCTATCGCTAATGGTTAGCTTCTACTAGCCAAGATGTGCTCTGCTCTCTCCTGGCCTATAAATCAACAACTTTATTTGGTTGCAAGCCAAGGTGGGCGAGTCCATGAATGCAAATTATACAGTGTGACATAGAGCTGTGTGGCTTTTGGCAAGGTAGAAGAAAATGTTCAGTGACCAATCGTACAGCTGAACAATAATTCAATAACGATATATATCTATCAGTAGATATGTGGTGTGATAGAAAAAAAAACTCATTTTCTTTTTTCATTTCAGCATATTGGGCACCTAACTTACCCATAATAGTTACCCAACCAATCAGAAACACAGACCCAAGCACGTTTTGTTACCACGCCTTTCTCTCAAACCTAAACAGCATGTGCCTTAAACAAGATGTCGCAGCCAGGAGAGGTGGAGGAAATTGTCCCACGTCATTCACCAGCATGGTAATAGTTTTGTCAGATGGCAACAACAAAATTTCATAATTTTGCAGAAAATCGATAAAAACCAAGTCTCATAAAACCAATTTGTTTAATCAAATTAGTTTTTAACAATGTGCTTATTTCTATATTGTCCAGCCCTAACCAATCATATTTCAAAAACAACAACTATTATATGGTTTCTCAGTGAGCAAGACCCTTACCAACGTCCTGTGACAACAGAAGATTTATTAACAAAACACACTTTCTAAGAATTTATTAAACACGTAAATGGAGTTGTAAATGTGTTAGCGAATCTGCAAACAAGCTAGGTTTTTTATGTAAACACGGTAATGGAACTCTCATCCCTCTCCTCGGGTATCTTCCCCGAGATTCTTCTGCCAGAACCGGAAGCCCGCATTTCCAGAGGAAACGAGATAGCGCAAAACCCCAGTCGCTGTTTTCTAGGTCCAAGCGTCTTATGTTGTCTGTGACTTCAAATGGTGTTTTTCTTTTTGGGATTCTGGTAGTTTGACCTAAAGTTGAAGTGGTAGCAGCCAGCTGTTTCTCCTTCTCTGATATTAATGAGCAGAGAATATCTCACACCAGTGGTGTTCTGTTGGCAAATACACATGTGCATAATGAGCGGAGGACCCAGGGAAGTGCGGCAGTTCGGCAAGACCGACAACTGGATGTTTACTAAAAAGGCAGATGCTACAAGAGGGTTTATTTTAAAGACGTGTAATGAGTTCAGGTAATTTGCTACCTTGAGGATGGACCTATGGAAGAAAAGAGCCAGTAACTGGACCAGGTCGTAGTGAACGTAACCATCTTTCTTCTCCACACCAATGATGTTGGGAGGATGGTACGGTTGGTTCTTGTTTATCATGTCCTGGTTAAAGGGGAAGAAGCCAAACTGGAAAAAGTACTTGATGACGATGGTGACCTGAAGAGGAAAATTAGAGGTGAAGCAGCATGAAAATGTTTGTTTCACTGCCATTTTATTATCTTTGGAAATGCATCCTCATGTGTTGGGGTGTACCTCAGTATAGATGATGGCAGTCATCCAGTAGCACTTACTGGGCCGTGGTACTGACAGCATGGCCCAGAGGAAGATGGTGATGGGAAGAACCAGGGTAATGAAAGAGGCTGACACCATGTGGTTGATGATGATGACCAGGTAGCAAACAAACTCTGAGTGAGCCACCAGCATGTTGTAGAGGGCGTAGCAAAACTGCAGGATCAGAGGCTGGTTGCGGTAGAATTTATCCGACTGCTCCAGCTCCTCGTCGTAAAACATCCTGAGGAGGTGGATGAAAACGTGTCAAACTGATTTTGTTTGGTTTTTAGAAGAACTTATGAAGTAGGACTTACTTGTTGAGCAGCAGTTCGCTGGCAGTCAGCTCAGTGGTCATAGAGGGCAACATGATGTCCGACCTGCTGTCTGAGCGGCTGTCGGACGTCATGATCATGCGCCTCCTTCTGCTGGTGTCGCTGTCATCGTCGCTGATCTCCAAACGGTCAAAGCTGACCGCCTTGCTGTAGCTGGGTGGCACTTCAGCATCAGATGTTTTGGAGGCATCCGTATCAGGGGTGTAAAGCATTCCAGGACGACCTTCTGTCAGCATAAAGTCCTTCTGTCCTCCACCGTCTTCACTCTCGATAAATAAGTCATTCTCCTGACCAGAAGGAGCAGATTCTGCCTCTTCCACCTTTGAGGAGAGGCCCTCATCGGGGCTTAAGGGCTCCCACGAAGCTCCGTCTCCTTCCTGGTCTTCTGTTAATTCTTCTACCCGCGGTTCCTTCACAGTCTCCTCATCCTCGTCACCCTGATGCCCCTCTTCCTCCTCATCCTCTCTCTCCTCCTCTAGTTCTTTCTCCCTGGGTTCTCCATCACTACACTGGTGTTCCCCAGCATCCTGACTTTCCCCCAACTGTTGGGACTCCACCCGCTGGTTGTCTTCTCCTTGATCCTGCTCATCCTCTACTTCTTCTATGGTGTCATTGGTGCCCTGTCTTGAGTAGATTACGATGCACTCAGTCGTTTCGCTGATGATGACAAAAGCAAAGAGAATATATTCAATCTCTGGTCAAAAACTAAACAAAAGAAGTAGTTAACCTGAAGCCCTCTTAGTTTTTATAGAATGTAGATTTCCTTTACCTAAACCATCTAGAAAACTCAGGTACCACAATGGTTCCACAGGAGACGCCATGTTGTAATTTTGGAGCCAGTCAACAACTTGAATAAAAGATCTTGGTGTGTTTAAATTTTTTTTTTCATAAAAATGTATTTGCATTGGTAGTGGTGGTGGTGGTGGTGTTTGTGTGTGTGTGTGTGTGTGGGGGGGGGGGGGGGGGGGGGGGGGGTACACAAGAGTGTAAATATTTGCAGAATTGAGACAAGGTTTACTGTGTCATCGACCAAAATGCATGCCGGGATGCTGGTCGCTGTGATACGTTTTTTAAAAACCTTTAACAACAACTTTTAAACAAATAACCAGTTATTTGAAATTAATTTACATTCATTACTGCTTTGTTGAAAAGTTTCAGAGCATCAACTAATCGTCCTAAAACTAACTAATTTCATTAGAAATATTTTCAGAAAAGGAACTTGAGCCTTTTATGCTGCAGCAAAGGTTTGTGGGTAATGCACTTCGTGTGGATCAAGGGTGCAAAAGGGGCGTGGTTAACTTCCACATTTGAGAATCAGGACACCCTACGCACTCGCACTCCTGGTCAGGATCGCGTAATTTAAGGGCCTAAGTGCGAGTATTGGGATTGGGCCAATCTCTCTCGCCACCCTAAAAACAGTTCACAATATAAAAGCTTTTCTCGGGTTTTAGCGCCCCCTGGCTTTTGACTGGGCCTCCAGCTTAGTACATGATAAAAAATGTGTTCAGTTTAAAAAATAAGGGAGATTAAGGAAAAATAAACAACAAATGAACATTTGGTATTATTTATTTACAAGACAAAAACAAACCACAGGACTCAAATTTCAATGATATGTCTACTGTCGCATTGTGGTAAGCCACACCAACTTTCACCATCCATTGATGCATTGGTCTCAGGACTTCTTCCTGAGTCATGAATTTAGTTTTACAGGACTTGATGACGGAACTGGACTAAACATAAAAGCGATGACGTGATTAATGAGATGTGACGATGATATTGGTTAAGGTGAGTGAAACAGGGATGTATCTGGGTGATGCAGAGACCAGGCACCTGGACATGAAGCTGCTGCCATTGTCCTCCGAGGAGTTGGACAAGTCCATGCTGTATATTTTTCTCAGTTTGGGTCTGGGACGCTCACTGGTTTTGGGAATGTGCTCTGGCATTGCGTCCATGTCTTCCAGAGTGGACTGGCGAGACATCAGTGTGGTGGCCTCAGTGCAGCCACTGATGGGCGGCGAGAGCAACAGATGGGATGATAGGTGGTGAGAAGGATGAAATGAGACAAACAGACGTGTTTTTGTTCAACAGAAGAAATAAAACCAACCTAACTATTAAATCTTTACTTTAAAATATGATGTTTAAAAGATGGAAATTAAACAAATGAGTGTGATGATAATGAAAGGAAGTCGAGAGTAAAAATTATGTTTAACTGCCAAATAATGAGATTATTTTCACAAAAATTAACTAAATATGTCCCACAGATATCTGTTTATAATTTTAACCTCTAGTACCTTGAGAAGCTGTCTCTGGAGGCCGTGGAGTCCTGGCTCTCCATCCGGTATCCTCCTCGTCTCTTGCGGACCTTCGTGGACCCTGAAACGGACTCGTCCTCGCTCAGCTGATCGATGCTGGCCTGCCTGGAGATGTTCAGCTTCATGGCCTTCTGGTAGTAGACGTGGATGCTCTCTCTGGACGGAACGTTCCCCTGGCAGGAGGAGTGGCCGTCACATGTAAACGCGCCGCCTCGATTTAAACTTCGGTTCATTCTAAGGGATTCATTACCTTTTTGACCTCGCGCGTCAGCATGCACCGCTCGATGCAGAGCACCGTGGAGATGTCAATGTACTCCCTGCACATGTCGTTCATCCAGTTGGTGAAGCTCTCCACCGTCGTCTGGAAGAGCACCCAGGTGAACTTTATGATGTTAAACACCCGCTTGATGATGTTGTCTGGATGGGAGCATCACCAACAAAAGCACAACACACTTCATAAACCACACATCAACCAAATGGTCTACAGACTTCTAAAGAATTTAACAACAAAAACATCAACCCTGGAAATCTACCTGGACCTGCAGACTTCTTGCTCTCCTCTCCTTTTTCTTGTCCATCAGACAGATCTCCCACTTCTATTGCTACATGAGCTGCTGAAATGCACAATAAATCACCCTCCAGTGGTCAAAAACAGCAAGAAAAACACCTTCCAGGTCATATTTATAAATGACTCCCTTTCATAACTGTGAAATGACTAACTTACTGCATGAATTATCTGATTGATTCATGTTTATATCTGGAGTCTTGTGGAATCTGAAGAAATGTATGGGCTAAGGATCAGATAAAAGAGCTCCAACTTGTTTACCGTCCTTGTTGGTTTTCCTGTTTCTCACTCTCTTTGTGTATTTCTTCCAGAATTTGCGTTTGTCTTTGCTTCGGGCCTTGAGTGCAGCTTTTGGGTCGGTGATCCAAGCTTGATAAAGAAACTGGAGGAGAGATAGAAGCTATTTAGTTCTCATTAAAGAGCAAGTCAACCCCTACCAGAGTCTAACTCCACTCCCACTTCATGTTTGAAAAATGCAACAAATGCTGTTGCCTGGCAGACCGAGAGGGCGGAGCCGCTAACAAATACACACACACTCAGGCTCACGACAGCATTGTGACATCATAATGTACCCGTTTACATCATAGCATACTTCTTAGCCAATAGCGGTGGCAGATTTAAATTAAAATACAGTGCAGAGTTTTTACCGGACAACGGCACAACACTGACAGTTTTAGGCAGAATATTTAAATTTTAACTAAGATGCACTGAAGTGCCAAATTATTGACGACACCTGTCTGCAGCACGATTAGACACTCGTTTATTTAGTTTATCAGCAAAAAAAAGTTTATTTGGGGGTGACTTGCTCTTTAAGGAGGGGAGCCAAAAACTAAATACATTTTTTTCCCATTAAAATGAAAAAATCTGTTAGCATTGAAGACAAATGAGCCTGGAAAACCTGTGTTTTTAAACATTTCCATCATGTCTTTCTAATAAATGAATCAAAATATTTTGTTTGACTTGTGTAAGTAGGGTTATTTATTTATGATTATTTTGTCACAATATTAACGCAATAATATAACTTCCTCAACTGGACAATAAAATATATCATCCTGAAATGTACTGAACTGATTATACGATACAATACTTTCTGACTCAATACGATGCAATGTTGCTATTTTAGGATATCATTTTTTAAAAGGTGTGGTTGACTGAAAATAATAATTTAACGATTTTACGATTATAAATAAGTTTTTCATGCAGGCTGAACTTGAAAATAGTCTCCTACACATATCTCCTGCATTAGCTACAAATAGAAAATAGATGGTGAAACTCTAGGATTTGGAAATCACATTGTCACACTGTGAATTTGCATTAATTTTTTTTCCTCCACCTGACCCAATCCTCATGTAAACCCCTCTGATCTCTATTAAGGTAGCACAACTCAGGTTGCGAATGACCACAGTCACCAATTCTTGTCATGCGTCTTTGCCTATGTATGTCTGATCTCAGAATTGTGTGTACTGAAACTCTAATTTCCCTCTGGGATTATTAAAGTATCTTTGAATTTGAATTCAATTCAATTGCCTCGCCCATCTTGGCTTGCGTCTGCCCACAGGAAGACCTTTTTAACCCTCTCATTGGCCTAATGGGTGTGACCCCACGAGGAAAATTCACCATTGAGCAGGGTTGATGGCTTATCCCTTGGGTCCATGTGGCAGGGGTGAGGAGTGAGCACCACCTCACCCCTGCCACATGGACCTCAAGAAATGAACCATCAATCCTGCTCAATGGTGAATTTTCCTCGCGGGGTCACACCCATAAAGACAGTGGTAGGGTTAAAGTGTTTTGCAGTGAGGAGAAAGATCAGAGAGCGTCTTGGTGATAGTGACTTTGCAACATGGCTGAATGCGTTCTGTTAGCCAATCAGAAACAAGGTGTATGCATATCATTAATAATAATGAGCAATCCTGCTGTTTTCAGCCTACCTCTGCACCAGAAATCTTCTGCATCTCGGAACAGGAGCATCATAGCTTTTTTTTAAAAGGACTCAGAAGGCACTGATTTACACTAGAGAACACTGCAAGTGTATTAAATAAATAAGTTAACCACACCTTTAAATGCTTTTATCTGTGTAACACATATAATACAGAAAAATAACATTATTCGCAATATTGTTGGCGTTTAAATGTCAATAACAATTAGCCAAACTGCCATTTTTAGATTGAATTTCTGTCAGTGAAACTGTTAAACACGTCAAAACAAAATGTGTCTCTCTGAACTCACAAGGTAAAAATAAATGGACAGAACGTGAATGAAGAGTGGATAAATATTGTTTACGTCATTTCAGCACATGCAGATTATATGTTATTACTGAAACGATGTTTAAAAGAGGCATTGGTTAGAGTAAACACTGGATCATTTCCAGCAAAAGCAGGTCACAATCAGCCTTAGAGAAAACTTTAATTCATGCTAAATACTTCAAGACAGTCAGACAACAAGCCAGAAACACCTTTCAAGCTCATATTTGATGTTTTTTGATCAAACTTATGTTTTCTTGCTTAGACAAACAACATTTAACTGTGAGGTTATTTGCTGCTAGAGCTGATCAGACAAGAAGCGTGATGCTGTGTTAGACGAGCATGGTTAGTACCTTTCCTGCCTTCACTACATACTGCAGCACTGTTTTAGGAAGCCTAATGATTGACTTGGGTAAAGCCAGGACAGCAGAGACAAACTTTCCGATTGCTCGCTGAAGACAAAAGGAAGACAAAGGTTAGTGGAGAAGAGGTTAAATATGCACTAGGAGACAGCAAACCAGAATATTCATGAATCAGTTGTACGCGTATGATCTCAGATGGGTGAATTTAAGAGAGCGTAGCACTAAATGATCACAGTAAAAAAATATACAAAATTTCTAAATTAAACATGATAAAATGAGAGCAGGTGGAAATTAGGAAATTAAGTTTTGTTGTTTTTTATATTTTTTGTGAGACAAACGAGCTTGAGAATAAAAAATATAATAAAATAAAATAACAGAATAAAGTTCACAAATGATAAAAAGTGGAAAGATGTTTTTGTTCTTTCTGTTTTACATAATTTATTTCCTTTAGTTTTATCTGCTTAACTCTGCAAATTCTCTATGTAGCATAAAATAAATGAAAAACATGTGAATACAATCCAGCTTCTGCTGCAGTTTAAAAATAAATACAAGCAAATTAAAAATAAGTTTTTAATTGAAACAATTTGAAAGAATCCACCTGGAATGCCGACTTCTTAGGTGGCTCTTCATCCTGTTTCTCCTCCTCCTCCTCTTCCTCCTCACTGTCAGTTTCAAACAAGTAATAGTCTCCACTTCTAACCACTGAAGAATAAATAACAAAATGCTGTTAAATGACCTTAAAAACTAAAGACCTTCAGGGAAACATTTATGACATGAAGGATGAATAAAATCAAACCACTTACCATTAAATTGCATGGAAAATCATAAATAACCAAACTTTTAAATGTATTCATAAACAGATACAACAGAGCACTTTAAAGCGGTGTTGTTCCTAAACGAAGAACGTCTGAAAGTGACTCCGTTCAGAAGCAATGGGATAGACAAGGCTGACTTATGTCCTTGAGCAGAACCGCAGTGGGCAGGAAATGAGGGAAGATGCTGGGAAATGGAGATGAAACATCAAATGACAACGTGATTAAATAATTTGTAAAATGTCATGTGGATGTGGATTATGACATGAGACATGAGCTGAAACCAAACAGGAGGCGGCGACTCAAAGGAGAATCTTTTTAAGTGTTTTATTTTTTCTACAGCGTTTCGGCTGATCACAGGTCTGATTGGTTTTTATTTTAAACCTGTTTGGTGGCCATGTCTGCGGGCAAAGAATGAACAAACCCTTCGTCCTTTATTCCAGTACTGAGAATAAAGGCGGATCGGTTTCATGCCTTTGCCTTTAAACAAGAGTCATTCTCTACTGTGGGCTTTTAGGCAGGCCATTTTAAACAACACCGAGCTCAAACCTCCAGCCGTTAGTCGTTTTCTTCATCGTCTCCAGGATTCTATTTAAGGTAAACCTGCTCTGTGCTTCTTTTGAAATTATCCTAAAGCGGAAGTGACTCGACACTAGTGTCAGATTAAACACCAGACCTTCAAGTGAGCAAGAGCCCTTAAATAGAGACAGAAAGGGATTAAAAGCCAGAGGGAGCGGAACAATCTGGTGCCTTCAGAGCCCAGAGGCAGTACGGGAATCCTCGGCGTTCTGGTCAAGGACAAAAGGGCCAATAAGAGTGGAGGAAGAGAAAAATAGGATTTGGGGAGTCAACCTACTGGAAGCATGGTCAACCCACGGCCTCCACCACTGCTTTTTTTTGGTCTTGGCTTTCGTTCGTTGTGCTCCTAAAATTTCACAAATACATCAATGAAACATTTTATTTTATTGAAAATAAATCTCTTCAAATTGTATTTCTAATAGGTGCTCTCTTAGTTAAAACAAGAGCATGACGTCCAGCACCACGAATGAAGTTAGTCATGATGGATTCCACGGCAACCGGAGCTCTTTTCATACCGTCATCATCGTCCTCGTCCTGGACGGCGGCGGTCTGTCCGTCCACGGACTCCTGCGCCAGGCTCAGCATCTTCTCCTTGCCCCTCTTAAACTTTTGCTGCCTCACCTTAATGCGGTCCATCCTGATTAGATCAGAGAGACGTGAGGAGACGCAGAGGAACATCACATCACGGCGTAGCGACTACAAACACCGCTACATTAGCGCTCATTAGCGAGGTTGAGTGGATATTATCATGAGTAACTCCTGAGGAAACTATGAGCACTGCCTTTATCTGGGGTGATATACTAAGAGCTGCCTTCCAGGAAACAATCAAGAATGAGAAGATGCTTTTCAAACAGTCATGTTTGCTTCCTTATGGGCTGAGTTAATCCTGACCAGTTCATCAAAAACACGGAAACAAAGTTTTAGTGCAGATTATCATCAGCTAATCCCACAAAAAACAATAATGGAATAAAAACAAATTGCTGATCTTTTGCACCAACATACAGCTGGAACATATGTAGACATTACTGAATATGATAGATTTTATGGAGCTTTTATTAGTATTTATTTCTAATCATTATAACTTAATGCTATAGTTAATTCATGTTGCTGGATTATGAAGTAATTGTATGATTTATTGTGTTGTTTTTTTGGGCGGTTTTTGGATTATTGGTTTATGTCCACCCAGCTGAATCATTAGCACTTTGCTTCTAATATAGAATAAAGGTGAAACAGGAAAAAACTGGAATATGCTGGAGAAGGTAATTTATTTCAGTAATTCTACCTGAAAGGTGAAACTAATATATGAGATGTCTCATTCCATGCAAAGCCTGATATTTCAAGCCTATATTTGTTCTAAATATGATGCTTTTTCTGTACAGCTGATGACAACCTCACATTCAAAACCTCAGACGATTGGAATATTGGGAAAAGTTCAATATTTTAGACTCACACTCTAATCAGCTAATAAATCCACAACACTTGCAGAGGGTTCCTGAGCCTTTAGATGGCCTCTCAGTCTAAGACAAATAACTGAAATCAATGAAAATTTGCACCATATTCTATTTTTTGGAGTTTCGCCTGTATGCTCCATAGAGATGCATTGATTCCTGATCCGAGGGCCGAAAACAATTTCTGATTTTTGGACAGTTCTAACTTGTTGATACCAAAATCTGGCAAATTCCAGTTTACCTAAAATCAATTTCAAATTACCACAATATGTTTTTGTTTGTTTATCTCTTAATAAAATGAATTTAAAACGTTGGCATTGCTAATGTGAATTAGTTGCTTAACCTCTTAGATTACAAACAGAAAGTCCCAATAAACCACTGCTGGCAATAAAGCGTGCCGATGGAGTATCAGGATTAGTACCTTCATCAAAAACTTGCCACATCCAGCACTATACATGTCTACTGCCCTCTGGTGGAGGATCTATAGGGTGTAAGGGCCAATTTTATTTCTTCATCACTGTTATAATTACTTAATAATATAAATCTGATAATTGTAAGTTATAACATTAAACAATAAATTATTCCATCTTCAAAACCAAAAAATACGTCAGATAGTTTTTTTTTTATTGCTGCTTGGCAACGATATGTTCATGGACCAAAAACAAAGGCAGATAATTATCAGTTAAAGCAGTTGTAGCAAATCTGCAAACAAGGTAGCTTTGAGACACAAACACGGTCACAGAGCTCTCGCCTCTCCCGTAGCGTATCATCTCCAGGCCACGCCTGCATTGCCAGAGAAAACGTGAGAGCGATAAACACTAGTCGACCTTTTGTAGGTCCAAACGTCTTTTGTTATTCGTGACTTCTAATGGTGTTTCTCTTTTTGGGATTCTGGTAGTTTATCCTAAAGTAGACGTGGCAGCAGCCGGCTGTTTCTCCTTCTCTGATATTATTGAGCAGAGAACCTCTCACACCATTGTCGTTGCTCAATGCACAAGTGTGTGATGAGTGGAGGACCTAGGGAAGTGTGGAGGTGTGGATGTCCGGTGGTTTGGCGAGACCAACAACCGGATGGTGCAATAGTTGCCTTCGGTCTGAAATGTGTTATTTCTTTTTTTGTGTTTTTTTTTATTTCCACAATAAATGAATAGCTACAATATATTAGAAGATTTTTAAGATGCATGAAAAAAAAAAAGATTTTTAGCTAACTTATTTTGCAAACTTGCTATTGTAGCTTTAAGCCATTCCTTTTGGCGGATTCTAATTTTCAGGGGCACCTTTTAAAACAATTTCGGAGTGGATTAGAAATACATTGTTACAAAAAGTAAGGATGCTCTGATGCCGACTACTGATACCGATCACATGGATCAGCCATACATTTTCTATGTAGTTATAATAAGTGCTGCAGCTTACATGATCTGGGAAAAAATGGACAATAATATCACCTTAAATGACTTGTAATAATTAATGTGATGCTGCACACAGGGTCTCTGCTGGCTACAAAGTATGAGTGATCGGTTCTGAAAGGCGATGATCAGAATTTGCTGATCGCGTTTTTCACGGACGATCAATTGGAACATCCATAACAAAAAACTTATTTAAATAACATAAAAATAGCAAAAAGACACATCAGAAATTATCCAAACAAGTTTGATGTTTAAACTCTAGTCCAGAGACAGAAATCGGCAGAATATTTACCTCTGTGACCAAAACAAATCTAACTTAAATCTTAGGTTGTGTCAGATCAAACGGTGTAAACACAGAAACCACAAAAGTTTAAACGGGGAGTCTCACTGTCTCTTCAGCTGCTCCACAGATTTACGCTCCTCCTCCAGTCGAGCTTTCACCGCCTTCACGATGGTGGCCTGGAAAAGCTCCGCTCCTCTGAAAAAAAACACAGACACACACACACACACACGTCTCTACATCACCATTTATTTTCTCAGTTCTCAGCCTTTACTTACTAAAACCATATTTTGAATTGTTATTTCAAAGCTGCAACAGAGATGGGATGATAAATATTACCTGGAGGCGAGGATCTGTGACGCCCTGATATCTGCCACCACGTGGAGGAAGTAGTAGCTCATGAAGACTCGTCTCTGCAGTAGCAGGAAGGCAAAGCAGATGCTGTCCCAGATGATCCCCGCCTCATCTTTGGGCAGCTCGCAGGACTTTCTGCTATCTGGATAAAAGACACGTCAGAGAACTCACAACAGATCTGTTTTTACTAAAATCACCTAAACGTTGAACCCACCGACCTATGTCCAGTGTGGTGTTGTAACCCTTGATGGTGCAAGCCAGACTAAAGAACTGGATTAACCAGCAGTGATTCTTCACCAAAGAGGTGATGTAGCCACACGCCAGGATCTACGAAGAAATAAAGTTTACATTAATGCTTTATTTTTATCCTTTCAGTTTTCAGAGTTCAAAAAGTTACTCACTGACAAAATGTTCTTCATGGTGATCACAAAGATGTTGTAGGCAATCAGGAAGTCCCAGTAGTGGAGGATCTTTTTAATCGGCTTCAGCAACAAGTTGCCCCCAAAGAGCAGGAAATAGAAGCAAGCCACGAGGTAGCCCATGCAGAAGACGCTGATCCGTGTGGTCCCGGTGAAGAAGATGATGGTGAGGACGAACCAGAACAGGTAGCTGAACATGATGACCTTCAACATGTCCAGGTAAGACCTGAGGATACAGTGAGCAAATTCGCCCCCTTATTGATTGATAAAAAATTTTGTCTTTTAAATGTTCCAGATCAGCAAACAATATATAGAGTAGGCTTAAAGACCTCGAAAGTAAGAAGCCATGAAGAAATTCAAGAACATAAGAACCCAGAACAACATCTAAATCCCTGTCACTTGGTTGATTAGAAACCAACAAAAAAACTTTACCTCAAAAATATTCTGTGGACCAATAAAATAAAAACATTTCCATCCCATTTGGAGTAAAAAAATATCACACCAACATTCAAACATGGAGGTGTTAGTGTGATGGTTCAGGCCTGCTCTGAACCACTTACTGTAATTGATGGAACCATATTTTGTGACCTTTGACCCTAAACATGACAGAGCTCAAACAAAAGAAGAGTGAGCCAAAAATCCTCCAGACACCCATTAGCAGTTTTACAGATGAAGTTCAGATGCCTTTTAGTTTTTGTCACAGGGTCAGGTGAAATAGGTGAACCGTAATCAGTTTCAGTTTAGTCTCTAGAAAACTATTGGTTTACTCACATTTGGGATCATTTTCTTATTCAAAGCACAGGGAAGCCTCTGTGCAGCTTTCAATCACACTCAAATTTTACTTCATGTCAACACAAGTGGAGAAAGTATCTATTTCCACAGTCTGAAATAAAATTTAGAAATTTTTGTCAACTGGAATGGCAGAGGTCAATTTAAGGTTTGGAGGAAATCTCTGAGAAATCTAATCCCCAGAAGATTTATGAGCTGCAGAGTGATGATATACGGTAGATCATCTTAGAAGATGAGCTAATCTGCTCTGGTAATATTATTATGCAAAAAAGCCCTAAATTAAACAAATTTCAGAATAAAATGTAATGTGTTGAAGGTAATAGCGGGAAAAACTTTTACTTTTAATTTATGATTGTTCACATCAAGAAAAAAAATTGCATTTTTTGTGTGCATTTTTTATGTCAATGTCCGTCTCACTGGTAAAAAGGACTTGTGTAGAGCAAAAGAAAAACACCCATAACCCACAACTTTAAAAAGCACATTCTAAGGGGTTTACCTCGCCCCCAGCTGGCACCTCATTTTCAAAAGCGGGGGTGAAATTCTGTCTAAAAAGTCTAAAATGTTAACAAAATAAGAAGTCTTGAGGTAGGAAAATAAAAACCATTAAGATATTAGTAGACTGTTGGTGCTTCAAGATCATCGGATGACTAAATTATGAACATAAAGAATATGTTTGTCAAATCACTTCTGTTTTCCGTTTAATCTGCTCGGACTTTGGCTCCCTCACAGAATCCTGGCTGCAGCAAGAGGACTATGTTAGTTTAAACAAATCGACTCCTAGTTATTTAAATCATCATATTGCTCGAAGTACAGGGCGAGGAGGAGGAGTAGCAACCATTTTTCATTCAGCCCAATTAATCAATCCCATACCAATTAATAGTTACAGTTCTTTTGAACATCTTATTCTTAGTTTTCCTAATCCAGATTGCAAAACTGTAACACCACTCTTGTTTGTAGTTTTGTATTGTCCACCAGGCCCTTACTCTGAGTTTTTGGATCAGATCTCTGATTTATTATCTGATTTGGTGCTAAATACTGATAAGGTCATTGAGGTGGGGGATTTTAACATTCATGTGTATAATGAAAATGATAGCCTCAATGTAGCCTTTAGTAATATCTTAGACTCAATAGTTTTTACTCAAAGAATACATAGCTCCACCCACTCCTGCCATCATACATTAGACCTTGTGCTGACTTATGGCATAGAGTATGAGGAAAAAGAGATATTTCTACATAATCCAGTCCTCTTGGACCACTTTTTGATAACCTTTATGTTTTTTATAACCGAGTTCTCGAGACATGAAAGTAAATTTCACTATACCATACCATACCAATTTTATATATATAGCACATTTAAACACGGCATGAGAGCCGACCAAAGTGCTGAACAAAACACACAATAAAAACAATCAAAAATAAAAACTAAATCCATTAAAATCAAGTAATCCAACCCTAAAAGGAAAGGTAGAAAGGGAATAAGTTAGACAGAATTAAAAGCCAGAGAATAAAAGTGAGTTTTTAAACGAGACTTAAAAAGGGAAAGAGAGGAAGAGAGTCTGATCGGGAGGGGCAAGTGGTTCCAGAGCTTCGGTGCACAAACTGAAAAGGCGCGCTCCCCGCGGGACTTAAAGCGAGAGCTAGGGACATGTAGGAGGTGTTGGTCAGCTGATCGGAGAGATCTTGTAGGGACATATGGGTGAATGAGCTCAGACAAGTAGCCAGGTGCTAAGTTATTTAGGGATTTAAACACAAAAACCAGGATCTTAAACTCTATCCGGAGATGGATGGGGAGCCAATGAAGATTTGCTAAAACCGGTGTGATGTGTTCCCGCTGCCTGGTGCCAGTCAAGAAACGAGCTGCTGCGTTCTGCACAAGCTGAAGTCGAGCGAGAGTGGAGGAGGAGATACCGTATAGCACTGAGTTAGACTATAGTCGATCTCTATCTGACAACGCTGCTGCATCTTTTAAATCAACTGTTCCGTCTTTACTGTCCTCAGCATCTCAGAGGAACGTAGAAGAGGGCAATATTTTCATTTCTAGCCCTTCACAAATTGAGGCTTTAGTTCATAATGTTACTTCTTTACGTGTGGCATTAGATGATGTTGCCCCTTTAAAAATGAAGGTGATTAGGCACAGGAAGTTGGCTCCCTGGTTTAATTCTGATTTATGAACTTTAAAACAAAACTCTAGAAAATTGGAGAGAACATGGCATTCTACACACCAGCAGGAGTCCTACTGGTCTTTGAAAAATAGTCTTGTGCTTTAAAAAAAGCTTCGACATGCTGGAACTGCATATTTTTCCATCGCTAATTGAGGAGAATAAGAATTATCCAAAAAAAATTTTCACTACAGTTGCCAAACTTGCACAGAATCATAGCTCTGAACAATCTATTCCCTTAGCCCTCAGCAGCAACGACTTTATGGGACTTTTCACAAGCAAAATTAATTCTATTGGAAACAAAATAATTAGCATCCTCCCTAATGTGATTTCTTCTTCCTCAGTAAGTGAGGCAGCATCAGAGGTAACTGTAGAACCTCATCTGTGTTTGAACCGTTTTGATCCAGTTGAGCTTTCAGAGTTATCAAAAATTTTAGCTTCATCTAAACCTTCAACTTGCATTTTAGATCCAATCACAACCAAATTATTTAAAGATGCCTTTCCCTTGGTTACTGCCCCCATTCTAGATATAATCAATCTATCCCTAATAAATGGATACATACCACAGGACTTTAAGGTTGCTGTAATCAAACCTTTACTTAAGAAGCCTTCTCTGGATCCAGATGACCCATGAATTGTAGACCAATATCTAACTTTCCATTTTCATCCAAAATCCTTGAGAAAACAGTGACCATCCAAGTATGTGAGCATTTAAACACTAATGAAATGTTTGAGGAATTTCAGTCCAGATTTAGAGAGTATCACAGCACTGAAACTGCATTAGTGAGAGTTACAAATGATATTCTCATGGCCTCAGATAAGAATCTTGTGTCTGTTCTAGTCTTGTTAGATCTCAGTGCTGCCTTTGACACAGTTGATCACAATGTTCTTTTAGAAAGACTTGAACATGTTGTAGGGATCAAAGGAACAGCGTTAGGCTGGTTTAAATCCTACCTGTCTGACAGATTTCATTTTGTAAATGTACATGACAAATCTTCTTCATACTCCAGGGTTACTTGTGTAGTACCACAGGGTTCAGTGCTTGGACCAATTCGTTTTACTATATATATGCTCCCAATTGGTAAAATCATTAGACAGCATGGGAGAAATTTCCATTGTTATGCTGACGATACTCAGTTATATCTATCCATTAACCCTGATGAACCTAATCGGTTATGTAGATTATAGGAAGACATAAAGGATTACTTGAAGACATAAACAAATTGGATGACCCAAAACTTTTTGTTTTAAATCAAGACAAGACTGAAGTTCTCATCTTTGGACCTGAAATTCAGAAAAGGAAATTGCTTAAGCCGGGCGTACACTGTGCGACTTTATCACTTTTTTGAGCCGATTTTCCACTCGAGCGAGAATCTACGAGATCGGGGCGAGTTTTGCGCCGAGCATCATGTAGTGTACAGGGGGTTACGAGAGGCAATTAACACCACGTGACCAGCTACCGATCAGCAATCGTGAGCTCGCACAAACTTATGGCGTGTTTGAAATTTTGCTCGTCCCTCGTGAGGGTATCGCACTGTTGAAGCGGCGCTGCGACCCAAAAAGTACCAGAACCGCTCACGGCGCAATCATGCATCAACACCGCCCGCCCGCTATTTCCCTAATAACACACATTGTTCATTTTTATTTCTACATGTTTGTTTTACTCACAAAGATTGTCAAGAAAGCGTGTTTGTCGTGTTCATGTCAAATTAAACTGATCACAAAACACAGATTTACTTTCTTTATTTCGTTTTCCTCATCCAACCCCCATAAATCCCTGTGTGTCCTCCTGCAGCACTCCCGAAGGACAACAGGCAAAACAAGACAAAAAAGTCTGACGTGCTGTGTAAAAACTGCTATTTTTAGCGTATTGTTTAGGTCCGACGTGTTGCTACCAGACGTACAGTGTGAGCAGTCAGGTCGCATCCGAAAACTGGGTCATGCAGTGTGAGCACATGACTCGTGAGATCTAACCTGCGAGGAAGTCATACAGTTTGAGCTGAAGCTGAGTGCTACGAGGGAAAAAGTCGCACAGTGTCCGCCCAGCTTTAGTCAATCGCCTGACCTGAATGGCATTAAATTAGTCTCCGAGAACAAAGTAAGGAACCTTGGTGTTATCTTCAACCAGGACATGTCATTCAAATCCCACGTTAAACAGGTTTCTAGAATTTCCTTTTTCCACCTTCGAAATATTGCTAAGATTAGATGCATCCTTTCCAGGAGTGATGCTGTAAAACTAGTTCATGCATTTATTACATCAAGACTGGATTACTGTAAT